TTCTGGGAATGGGATCAAATCAAATTTGGATGGGAACTAATCAACTATTAATTCGATCAATTGGCAAATAAAAAAAAACAAAAAAAGTATGTAAACAGTAATATGATCTTGGGAGGTGGGCACGTGTCCGCGTTTGGGGTTGGTGCTGTAGCCAGTCAGCCAGTAGCAAGAGATACCGTACTGGTCATGATTAGTAGGACGGTACGGTAATAGTTAAAAGAAGTGTCATTGCCGTACCTGTAAAGTATGACAATTGGATAAGTCAGTATACTGTTAAAGTCTTAGATCTGTAGGTATTTATTCTGTATATAGGTATAATACTGTAATATTCCATTACTGCATTAGGAGAAAAGAATACGGGTGGGTAGTCTAAATCCTGAAATCGGAAAAAAAGTGGGAAATCTTGAAATACAGAAATTGGGCAATGGTTTCCAGATGGGAAATACCATCCAAGGTTCTTGATGGAATGAAATTTACATGCTATAGTTCTGATGAAATAAGGTATGTTATTCAAGAATTCCTAAATTCAGCTGAAACTTATTACCGGTACTGGTATCACACAATTTGTGGTAGTCTACTAATCAAAATTGCCTCTTATGACCCTTATACCTTTGATAATACTGAAATAACATTTTACATGCATGGAGAAAGTGAAGCCGATGAGAATTATCATATGGCGAACCACCAAAACTTTTTGTCTGGTTACCAGTCCATGTCACTTGTGGGATAATGTAGCCCCTTACCGGTATTTGTTCTAGATGTGTGGACTTATAATTAGAGGGAGCCATACCTAACCAGCAGTTAAGTCTGTACGGGATACACGCTATGGCTGTATGGCGGGAAGAAGTCCAGCAACCATGCACATAATTTTCCTCCACAGGATTCGAACCTGCAAATTCACATAGGGTATGCGATGGCGAACGAGATCCGAACGCGTAGTACAGTAGTCAGGTAATGTTCCACACGTCGCAGCAGTTTATCTATTTCTGTATTTATATGAATGAAGCATAGCTGACTGTTCTGACTGCTGCATTAGACAAGTGCAGTTTTAAGTATTCTGTGTCGTCTGCATCTGCCGCAAAACCATGGCGGTATTTCCATACCATGGCCGCTACGGCCAAACCTATGGCGACTGACTTTTTAGCTGCCACAAACCAATGACGAGCTGTCGTTACAGCGGCAGCAAATTGAAAACCAATGGCAGGTAAAAATTTTGCTTCCATAACCACGGCAGGTGGGCCGTAAAGACAGGGCTGTCCCCTATCAGCCTATGGCAGTATGGTAACAAATATTGGGTTGGAATGTTTTTCTTATGAATACAGTTTTGATGGATTTGCGGTTAGGGTTTGAGTAGATATAATTCCGCATGATCAATTAAAATCTGGTACATTAATTTGTGAATATACCGTTAATACTGAATACTGAATAGCGCTATAAAACCCTGGCAAGAGCTGCAGCAGTTTGTCGTGGCAGGAGCTGCAATGAAGTGGTAAGAACTGCGCCTCGCAATAAATCTTAGATTTTCAAAACCCATACATTAACAATAAATCCTGTAACAGGCAAGTTCGGTAATTTTATTGTGAAGTGTGGTAAATTGGGATTAGTGCGCGACTGTCGATTACATCAGCCCGGCAACCAACATGACCCACAGATAATAAGGATTGACATCAGTTTTCTTGTCTTCAAGAAAGATATGAAATGTTCACGTTCTTTGTTTAGTACAGGAATCTAATTTAATTATCAGTTTTGGTTTATGAAAACATGAATATTTTTAGGGCTTTGAGCGTGAAAGAAGTCACAAACCCACAAAGCTTGAACTTCTTGCTACATCCAACAGAAAATGGTCTCTATGATCCTGTATTTGGTCCACCCACCAGACTTGATGACTGTAAAACATGTGGATTGGGATCGAGTGGATGTCCTGGCCATCTGGGACATATTGAATTACCTATACCCATCTACCAACCAGTATTTTTCAAGGTAACTTGTGTCAAATGAAATAAAGAATAATAAATTTTGTAAACTACGTAGAAGTTATCCAAATGGTTGTATGCATACAGGCGCGTAGCCCGGATTTTCAAAAGGGGGTTGGGTTCGAAATCAGGAATTCTCTGTGCCGTCTGTAACTATCACCGTGATTACGCGCTCAATAAAAGATGCGCCTTTCCAGCGTATAATGATTTTTCTGTCGCGTAAAATATTCAATCCATGACAACTACTAGTTTCTAAAATGTCCTTATATATTAATTTAATTGTGTCCAACGTAACTCGCGGTTGCGACTTTTTTTGTCAAAATAAATACATTACTACACTAAAATACCACAGCGATCTGTGGACATAAAAATATGAGGTAAGCTGCCTGATGTATTCAATTTTGATACATATTTTTGCAATCTTGCGTACCCGTTGTCGTCGTTCGTAAAATCTCGATATCTAATATAAAATCCTGTTTAGTACAATTTAATTTCATACAATGAAAATATGTATAAAGTATACCAGTAAATCAAAAATACAAATTCACGGCCTCGAAATTCACGTCGAACAGTCGCCGCGATTACGCCTCTTGTTAAAAGAGCCGATTTTTTCAACGAAAAAGATTTTTCTCTCGTGAAAAGTAATTAATCCATGATTAACACTGGCATATTTAAAATGTCTTGCTTTAATAATAATTTTTTTGTCTTTAATTTAACCTGCGATTGCGTCGACAAAACAATGACTACTCTAAAATACCACGGCAATCCACGGACATAAAAATTAGTGGTAAACTGCCCGATTATATATTATTTTGATCCGTATTTCTGCTATTTTGCACATTTGACAAACTTGAGATGTACTTGTGACACGGACTCCGCTCTATTGCAATGCTGCCACTCCGCGTAAAATTTATTTCAGTAAAATAAAATTTGATCGAACATACTTATTAAGATTAATTATCTTATATATTATCACAAACCGGGAAAAAGTCGCGTTCCCAACCATAAATAATTGTTGAGAAGTCTGATGAGCAGATTCTTTACAGATTACCAACTTGAGTGTCTTTGTATAAATCCAATGTTTGTGAATGAAGCATAACACATTTAACCTAATGTAAGTCTAACTGTTAACAAAGATCTTAATACAACCAAATACTCCAAGCAGTTAAATAGAAAATAACATACACATGTATGATACAGGTAGAGAGAAATGGATAGGATAGGATTTACATATTTATCCCGGGGGAGAGGAAAGCCGATAAGACGACTTATCCATATGGCGAACCACGGCTTCTCGTCCGGTTACCATTCCAAGTCGGGTATGGGATTAGTTATATTGCTTGTTCTCGGAAGCATGGACTTGTTGGTGGAGGAAGCCGTAACCGACCAGCGGTTACGTGAACCACCCAACGATGGCGAGGAGTCCAGCAATCCTCTCGCACATAACCATCCCTGCATGGGATTTGAACCTGCGAACCCACGCAGAGTAATTAGAGGTGCGGTGGCGAGCGTATTCCAAACGCTTAGCCCGTTGAGCCACACCGCCGCATATCCCAATATCTCCCCTTCGTAAAGGAAAAAGATATTTGTTTTTCAAAATATCACAAAATGACAGAGTGAATAAATAACGAAATAGCAACAGGTGAAGAAACATTTGAACAGCAAGCAATAAACAAAGAAATAAAAATTGTTCAGTATTCATTATCAAATGTCTTATTTTATCACATAGAACAGTCAGTATAGTCATGTTCATTCAGACAGCCCTGGCTTGTTGTAAGGCTGTAGGCGTCTCAATGCCAGAGGTAATCTTGGTGGGTGCGTGGCTGGACGGGAAATAGCTGAGGGACTAGTTTGGTTTGACAAAGGGCAAATAGGTGGGGGCCCCGAATTTGGAGGGTGGTTAGCTCTGGAGATATGGCTAGAATGTGGCAGGTTGAGTGATATGGGAATTGTGGCTTGGGGTTCGAACGAAATAGGCTTGAGGAATCTCCGGTTTCGTGTGACTGTTCTCCCAGATCCATCCATTCTAATCAAGTATTTACGGTGTTTGAAGCATTTCACAACTTTTCCTGACCTGTCCCATCTTTTGTTGATGGGATTTTGGATTGAAACGTTTGTTCCTTCTTCTAAGAATGGTAGATCGTGTGCATGTTTGTTGTATTCAGTTTGTAGGTCAATATATTCCTGAGAAAGAGTTTTTTCTCTAGCTTTGGCTGCTTGTGTCCACAGTGGATTGAGCCGTAGGTTTGATGGGTGAATAGGTAAGAAGTCCTTCAGATGCCGAGAAAACAAAAGTTGTGCTGGACTGAGTCCAATATCACGGAGAGGGGTGTTTCGATATTGAAGAAGTGCTTTGCCGAATGAACGACTTTTTGGGGAACCGTCTGGCAGTAAATTGTCCCGGATGAGTCGTTTGGCTGTTTTTACGGCAAGTTCAGCTTGCCCATTTGATTGTGGATAGTGTGCTGACGAGATTCGACCTTTCACACCCCAAATTTCTTGAATTCCTCTGAAGCAAACTGAGGGCCACCATCAGTACTGAGTTCTTCAGCACAGCCGAAGCGCGTGAAAAGTTGTTCGAAAACAGGAATGATGCGGTTTGTGGAAGGTGATCGATGAAAGTGGGCAATTTCAATCCATCCACTGAATCTGTCTGTGATTGCTAAGTAATCGTTACCATTTAGATAAAATAGGTCAGCACAGATTTGTTGAAAAGGCCATTGGGGTGGAGGTGTTGGTATGATAGTTTCTTGAACTTGAGATGGTGCAATATAGGAGCAAGTGGAGCAAGAAGATTTGAAGTTGAGAATGCATTTGTTCATTCCCGGCCAGTATACACAATCTTTTGCCCTAGCGACCATATTTGTGCAGCCCTGGTGGGCACTGTGTAGTGTATGAAGCACAGATGATCTGAGCTGTCGAGGGATAACGAATCTTTTGTTATCTAAAACAATGATCTTGTTGTCGAAACAAGATAGTCTGTTACGTAGTTCCCAATAGGAGCGAACCTCTGATGAAGTGGCACTTCTTGTGGATGGGAATCCAGAAGAAATAGTTTCATGTAACAGCTGATGTGATTTGTCAGTTTGACAAGCGTTTTGAAGCCTATCGATAGTTATTGCCCGATTTGTAAGAGGTCCATTCTCGTTTTCAATGTAACAATTTAAGGCTTGTATTGTCTCGTGCATGAGAGACCAAGTGGTGTCGTCCTCTAGTTCAGCAGCAAAGAGGTCTTCATCAGTTGAATTAGAGGCAGAAAGTACTGGATTTCTTGAAAGGGCATCTGGCCCTCTGTGCCATTTTCCACAACAGTGGTGTATGGAGAAATCGTATTGAGAAACTTTTGATCTGAATCTAAGCACGCGTGGGTTGCTGCTGTCAGATAGTTGTCGGTTGCTGAACAATGGGATGAGGGGTTTGTGGTCGGTTACTACAATGAGATCTTTGCAGCCGAGGATGAAAGACTTGGCATGGTCTAAGCTCCAAGCAACCGCAAGCGCTTCGCCTTCGGTGGGTGCATAGTTTCTTTCAGCTTGTGAAGTGTGCCGAGAGCCGGCGTATACGAGATGCCAACCATCAGGGCAACAATTTGGGGCTTCATTTGTACCGCAGGTACAATATTTCTGTAGAAGTAGGTAGCCAATGCCGTCCTTGCTCCAGTCGCATTGAATCAAAGATGGTCGATGAAGATCAAATGATTTGATCCCTTCTTCACATAGGGAGATAAGTTTCGATTTCTCAAATATAGATTGAAGAGTGTCGTCCCATATGAATTTGGATCCCTTTTTTATTAGGTCGCGAAATGGGAGCATAATGGGGGAGATGGCGTAAGCCCATGATATTTGGTTTACCAAGCCGTGCCAACTTTGAGCGTCGTGAATGTTTGTCGGAGGTGGAAAGTTTTTTAAGGAGTCAAGAAGCGCTGGGGCAGGTGCAATCCCAGCAGGGGTTATTTTAAGGCCAGCAAATATGATGGTATCCTGACAGAATTTGAATTTATCAGGATTGAATACTATCCCCTTTTGAACGCTTAGTGTGAGAAAATCCCAAACTTGATAGAAGGATGATTGAATGTCACTCTCATATAGGCATAGGTCATCCACTACATGCTGTACTTTTTTAATGTTTGACTCTTCTAGAATAAGATCAAGGTTGCGATTGAAAATATCTCCTGCAGATTTAAAACCTTGAATAAGGCGCGTGCTCATAAATCTTCCCCATGGTGTGATGAACGTAGTCAGTGGTTGACTTTCCTCATCTAGTGGAACGCTATGATAGCCATCAGTGATGTCCAAAATAGACTTTTTCGTGTTAGGAGGAATTTTGCAGGCAGCTTTGAATGGAGATGGATTATAGTGAGCTTCTCGTATGCACTGGGCGTTCAATTTCTGTAAATCAATAGTTCGCCGGATAGATCCATTTTTCTTCAAGAGTGTGACCATGGGTGAACACCATGGTGTGATCATGCCTGGAGGTACGGGCTTTACTATGCCTTTTTCGACATCGTCCAGTAGTTTTTGCTTTGCTGGTTTCTCCATATGTATGGGTATTGGAATCGGTGTGTGGCGTGCATATGGGATAGCCTTCGGTTTGAGGTAGATGTGTGCAGGTGGTCCCTGCATTATGGGGAATGGTGGAGATCGGTCAAAGGCAGAAGCCTTGAAACTATCCAAAATGTACTGTTTCAGTCTAGTTATGTTGTCCTCAGTTGGAGGAAAAGGAATAGACATAGGTCTGATCGGTAGTGATTGAACCCGTTGATTTGTGATTAAGGGTTTTGTGGGAGACCTTGTGCTCGTAAGAGAGTTTATTGAGCTGGCATTAGGTGATGGCAGTGGAAAACTCTTCGGTAGGATGTCCAATGCTATACATGCATCTTTACTTAAATATAGATGGCGTAGCTTTATCCCAGGTTCAGTAAAGTATAGTTGTTTTGTTTGTTTACCATATCCAATAATATTTATGTTTACGTTGGCATAGCAGTAAGCTTTGATAGTACTACCTCCTACAATGCGAATGCTTTTGTTACATTTTTGTAGAACTCTCTTCGATATGTGCAAATATGAAATATATGGATGTTCAGCGACACATATTGATGCTCCACTGTCCGGTAGTGCTGTCACAGGTTTGGAGCAGATGCTGTTTGCTGTAGACGAAGTATGAGAGATCTGAATTTTGATTTCAGCTAATGAGGAGTGTGGATCTCCAACGATATAAAGTGAAATTACGCTCAGATTGGCTTTTTCATCCACAGAATCTGAGTCTGACTGGGACTCGGATGATGTCATGGACTGTGCTTGTATTGCATTGCTTTTTGCGGAGAAGCATACTTTCTTGTAATGATTATCCTTTCGACAGTGAGAACAAGTTTTTCCCCATGCTGGGCATCGATTCTTCCTGTCCATTTCTGTGGATCCATGATTAAGACTGCCACATCCCCTACATGCAATACGTCCTGAAGATGACTTCTTACTAGGGCTTCTCTTTTGACGTTGTCTTTGTGTGGCAAAGTGTGATAACAGAATATGATTGTGTGTGGCTGTGTATTGTTTCTTGATTTCGAATAGCCGATTCGTAAGCAGTGGCATACTTAACAACTTCCTCTAAGGTAATGAGGGCCTTTTTGTCTGCGCATTTGGACAGTATGTCAGCCTAAAGGGTTGTGTTGCAGATGCCCTTGATGAGCTGATCCCGAACGTGCCAGTCGGTTTGATCAAACTTGCATGCTTCGCTTGGGCATATGTGTTCGCAGTCGTGTGCCACAGAAAGCAGTCTGGCTACAAACTGTGTGACTGTTTCCCCAGTATGTTGCTGCATATCCATGAATTTTGTTCTGTGCGTAAGAGGATTTAGTTCTAGTGTGACAATGTTCCTGATTTTAGATAGGAATTCCTTTTCGGTTAAGTCTCTGAACTCTGAACATGTGTTGTTGATGATTTTTTGAACTGCCTGATCACATGCAGAGTAAAGTAAATCATTGGCATGAACACTTGCATGTGGTTGAAGGTTCTTGAATGTTGTCCACACGGATAAAGCAGTGCGAAAATCAGAACTAGACATTCTAGTCGAGAATTCAGGTAACTTTACGGGCAGATTTAGTTTGGTGGGCTGAGAAGAGTTGGATATGTTTTGCTGAGAATGATTCAATATTTTAATTTGATGTGCTAAGATTGTTATACCCAAATCACTTTTAAGAGTATTTTTGTCCAGCTGTGGTAATTCAGTCTCAGTGAGCTCATTAGCATGAAATGTATTTCCATATTCATCGGATCTCTCATCGGGGATGCCGAGATATTTGAAAAAAGTACTCCAGCTGGTAGCATCTGTTAGTCGCAGCGCCATGTTGGGAAGTCTGATGAGCAGATTCTTTACAGATTACCAACTTGAGTGTCTTTGTATAAATCCAATGTTTGTGAATGGAGCATAACACATTTAACCTAATGTAAGTCTAACTGTTAACAAAGATCTTAATACAACCAAATACTCCAATCAGTTAAATAGAAAATAACATACACATGTATGATACAGGTAGAGAGAAATGGCATAGAAACAGGATGGCAGAAATGGCATATCCCAATAATAATGTTAACACAAAAATTTTCGACGGCAATTTAAAGTAATGGATAGAAAGGCAAACGCCGACTAAACATAATGTGTGCCGTAGGCCCACAAATTTTTTAGATTATCAATGCCTAGAAAAACGCTTTATTTTCAGTATTCTATATTCCGCTTTTCATTCAAAAAATTTTGATTGCGGATTTACTCCTTCGTTTTTTTTCTTAAGAATCTCACCGCCAATGAATGTATAATAACTCTCACTGAATTCACAATTCCGTACAAGTACAAAAATGAAATAATTATCATCGTTATCAGGGCACAAATTTAGAGAGAATAAACATCAATGTAAAGGCGTTTATGGCTTACTTCATGAGGGGGGGGGGGGGGAGAGTTCGACTCTCCAAAAAAAAAAACTAGCTGTGCCACTGTATGCATATGTAATAAAATAAAATGATAACTGGCAAAATTAGTATCCTTAATATATGTGAAATACTCATGCTTTTTTTCAGACACTGCTTGACCTCTTACGTGCAATGTGTTTGAAATGCCATCGATTCCTAGTTGATAGATCAAAGCGACTTCTCCTTATTTATAAATTGAGAGCTATCAACAAAGGAATGCTTCAACTTGTTAATGAACTGGAAGAAACTTTTTATAAGGTGATTTATTAGATTCATGTAGAGCCGATGTGCCAACTAGTTGAACATGGCGCAATAGTTCATGCTATGTAAAGCCTGCTATAAGTGTTTTTTTTTTCATGATATTTCGTCAAAAAACAATCTAAAGTACAAATGAGAATTGATATATTTGTTTGTTAAATATGATACCGGTATATATTCAATCATTTCTAAGCTGATATTGCCATCGATGTCAGACCAAGATTATATTTCATAGCTTTTGATTTTCCACTACTTATCAATAAGTTCCAATTTGCCATAATTTTTATGTTCAATATGCAATATTCAGGCATCACAAGATTTTATTGAACAAGGAATAGAGGGTGTAGACTTTGAAACACTCGCTGATGAGTTGGAAAAAGTGTATTCTTCAGACTGCATTGATTCTTCAGCCTGCGAAGATAACAATAAACCAAATAATCATGGTCAGACTTATTTTTCAAGAAATGCAAATGAATGCAGAAGAAATATTGTCAAAGATTTTTTTACACAAACACATAGCAAGGTTAGTTATGTTGTCTTACCCAAAATATCAAACTTACAAATTGAAACAGGCTCGTTCTCAAGTTGTTAGTCAATCATTGAATTTTTGATATTCATTGTATTTGCAATACAGCAAATAAAATGCTTATCATCTGCAAAGAGGCAAGGCCTCACTGTTTATATTTTATTGAATGATTTTGTTACACATTGGTAAGAGAACGATATTATCTGAAACTGAAATGAAGAAAATTAGGTAAACACAAAACTCCGTAATCAAATCGATAACTTATATACTACACTGAGTATAGAATATTACACTGAATTACCGTATATACTCGCAGATCGGTCGCAATTAAATATAGGTGCGACCAATCCGCTCGACATAAGTGCAAATCGCCACCAAGTCGGAACAGCAAGTTGGTTATTCATGGAAATCGTATGGTCTGCCCTTGTGTACATGCACTTATTATCGCTCACAGGTGTTGATAAACATATTTTGATTATATGCCCTACAAAAAAAAATTGAAAGTTATCTATGCAGAAAAGCTAGGGAAAGGGCCTTTTAAATTCCTAGATTTTCAGTGCGACTTATGTGCAAGTCAACTGTAAATTAAACTTTTTTAAGACAAAACTAATAATGCGATCTATACGGTGGCGCGGCCTATCGGCGAGTATATACAGTACTGCATTCTCTAGCACACACTATATTACTGAGTCAGGACTGAATTTTATTTAATGCAAGTCAGGCATCTCTCATTGTAGTGAAATGTCAAGATTTTGGCAATATTTTTTTTATTTGATTTGCCGAAATTTATGTAATCGCTATATATTAATTATTGTTCTAAATCAGGGTGGTCCAAACCCAGGCCCGCGGGCCACATGTGGCCTGTCGCTTATTATCTATGGCTCACGTCACATTTTAAAATCGCATTTTATGTTGTTTTGTCATAAAATTAACCAGAAAACTCTTTTGACATATTGTTACATCACTAGTGTCACTGTATTGATTATTGTTATGGCTAACTAAGGCAACTAGTTGAATGATGTGCTTGGCAGTCTAAATTGTTATCTGGCTTTCCATCGTTTTTGGTCAGGAATATATGCTAACAATTTTGACATCATATAAAACTATAAATCAAATGCAGATTCTATTAGCCTCGATCGGCTATGACTGATAATGAAATATTAATGTTACGGCCTAACAATATATAATTCATGTCTGGTGTTTTTTGCAACCAGTCTAAACAGTATAGGAAAAAATGCTGCCTCTATGTCAGAAAATTTAGTAATTACCCTCCTGTGCCTCACATTTGGTAAATAATCACTCTGCAGTTATTTGTAAGTTATTTTGTAAACATGAGTTTAAAAAGAAAGCTGATAAATTCAATCAGATTTTCAACTGGATGTGGGATGGAAAATACCACAATGCTTGCTTGATATGTCTGCAAGTTGTGTCAGTGATAAAAGAATTGAATTATAAAAGACATTCTGGAAGCTTGTGAGCAAGTGCATTTTCCAGAGTTAAGATTTTGCTTCAAAAATCTTATTGATGTTCGAAAGCACTTACATTTGCAGAAGTGCTTTTTCCATTATGAAGAATTTGAAATCTTACACTATATCGCTGCTGTAGAGCAAAACTTATGTCCACTTTTTGAGATTTTCACTTTCTGAGTTTTTCAATTTTCTGATGTTTTAAACTATGCTCTTTCAGATGCACATGAGCTTGACCCAGTATGGTTTGGAAGATAGCCTTAACTTATGTCCCTATGCTGGAGTACAACACTGACTTATGTCTTAAAAAAGCGGACATACGTCTTGGTTCGCTGTTTTTTTTTTTATGCAAAAGTAGCTTATGTCTACAAAAGCGGACATAAGCTCTAAACTCCCCATAACAAATTTCAAATATATTCTGGACATAAGTCTTCATGCATGACTGCACATACTTAGTAAGATCTGTTGTGGGTCATGTAGTCTACTTATATCAGTCGAATTTGAGATTTTTTTAACCAATATGTGAGATTAAATATTTATAGTTCATATTTTTTTATCTAGTTAATTAGCTTCCTGTAACGCAGTAAGTTTCATTAATTAAATGGAGAACTAATCGCTTTTTACCAATGACGACAATAGGAAAAAAGATACCTTGTGGAATGAGAGAGCTCAGAATAGTTGATACAGTTCGTTTTGGCTACTCATATGCAATTGTTATCATTTATATAATAGAATGCTTCATAAAATAGTGTTACTAGGTTTTAAGCAATCGATGAGTATGATGAGGTTGCCTTAAGTCACACCAGCGGCAAAGATAAAAAAGAATAATTTAGTGCAAAAGAGACTTATGTCCAAAACAATGTTGATAAAATAAAAAAATAAATGCAAGAAAAGAGGAAAAATATTCTAGAAAAATGCAACAACCAAACTGAACGAAAAATTTTATACAGATATGCAAAGATAAATTCGCTATCAAAAATAAACCCTGGAAAAAAACTTTAAAGGCCATTTTCTCAGAATGTCAAAATGGGACATAACAATGCAAAGGTCAAATAGTAAATAAGTTATATTCTTTCGTAAGTCGGAAAAAAAACAAGTTGATTAATTGGGAAGGTTAGTGAAGAATAATTTTTACTTTTTCCCGCGCTTTGTCAAATAATTTTGATAATAATATTCAAAAAAATTCACTATGTTAGAAAATGATTTCCTATTGCGCTAAAGATTTCATCCATGACCGAAACTTAAAATGCTTTGCCTTATTGTTTTAATTCTGTTCAATGTAATTCACTGTTTCGTGGACTTACGAAATAATAAAATCATTACTATGGCAATCTAACGACGTAAAATGTGTGGAAAACTGCCCAATATTTAATTTGATTTGTATTTATACCATCTGCCATGCCATCTGAATCCTGCCAATTTGAATTTATAATGTATATTGAAATAGTCAATCATTCGGTATAGGCCATCCCTGGATATCTGATATTTGACCCTGTACCGCGACCGCCAACCATTTAGTTCTATTAATAAGTGATTAGAAACGCCAAAATCTATAGAATTAAAATCGACATAAGTAATGCACAGTTGCACACAATCCTTTTTCAACCCCAAGAATTCTTAAAAAATCAGAAAATAAAAAGAAATCCATTGTCAGGAGCTGGAGCCACTGAAATTTCTGGTAGCTTCAGCTCTGGCTCCAGCTCCACCTATCATTGCCAGTTCAGCTCCAACTCCGGCTCCATCAAAATGTCACAGCTCCATGGCTCCGGCTCCGACTCCCCAGCTCTGGTTATGACAGCGAATTCGGTACCTCAATTCGCTTTTTTAAAATATAAAAATTTAGTTTGTGTGTTCACTATTAGCGCACTTTTTTGCGAAAATTGCGAAGCACTTTCGCAACTTTTTTTAGGGACTGCGAAATAGCACTTTTTTCCGATTTTGAAGAGAAATAGCATTTTTTTTCCGATTTTGAATGGTATAAAAATTCAAAGTTAACAAATATTAATTAACAAGTATTAAGTTGACAAATAAGTAACATACTAGTACTTTTTAACTCAATTCTGCATATCATAATGATATTTACCGGAATTCTAACCTATGAGATGCAGACATAGGAGATAAAGCTTTTGCATTAACGGCAAAATTTTTGTTTATAATATGATTATTATACAAGCACACGGGTTCCGCTTCTCCCGCAAAAACGCTTCCTCGTCTTAGAAACCAGATGTTGGAATTCTACGCAGTGCCTTTCTTTGAACGAGAGTGGTCATGTGACTATCAATGATATCGATGAATTCAAAATGACTATGAAAGTGTTAGTAAAGTGTTATAGTCACTTTGGATGAATTGTGACCAAAGTGCACGATTTTCAAATCAGACGAAACTTTTAGCAGCATGTCACAGATTTGCAAAATCACCAAATTCACAAAATACCATTAAGTGCCATTTTATTGTAATCACAATGTTGAAAGGACGTGGCATTTTCCGGAATTTTGCGATATTTACACAACTATTTCTCATTGATATGCGAGTACGGGTGGGCAAAATTCAATATTTTTTTTACTCGGATATTTTTAACGAGTACCGAATAACAAATATTTTTGGAACGTGGTGGAAACATTAAAAAATCGGCAACAAAGCGTTTTTACTGGTTAATTCCGTTGTAATCGCTAATTGTTCTTGTCACCGATCGTTTTGGCGGCGATATCCAGGTTTTGGTAATCTATATTCCCGCCCTCTCTTTTTTACAAATGTGAATTCTTGCGGGTCGGCTGACATCGAAGTTTTATATTTCGGGTTTACCCGTTCGTTCACATCGGCAACAGCTGTTGAAGACATTGAGGAATCAAATTTTAACATTTGCGTTGGCTTTAATATTACCTATCAAGATTTGTAAATTTACCGTCCCAATTTTATGTGAATGGTAATATTATTGTCGATATCGTGATGCAGATATTTATTAAGACGATAATTAACTTTCTCATGTTTTTCTATGGTGATAAACTTCGCAAATCTGAAATTGTGCCAATCCTGAATGTTGATTTGAAATAGTGATTTAATAATTTGGCAATACAGGCATTTCTGCGTGGTCATAAGACGAGATGACGTTAATGAACAGCACTTCTTTTACAGGATATTTTGCGTATGCGACTTAATGCTAAAAAAATTGGGCTCGAGTGCTTTTTTTTCGAGCGCTCGAGTGCCTTTTAGAGGTCAGGCGCTAATTGTAACTAATTCCCTCAAGTTTCAACGTGTTTTGTCGCGATAATTATAGCTAAAATGTTACCCAGCAATTTACAATTTTATTTATGGAATTTGCAAATTCACCTGTTTCTTGACGATTTCGATAATGTCACGCCCTAATTATTAGTGCAAAAAATACCCCCCTTCTTCAGCGGCGGTTTGACGGGTTCTTTGTTCCATTCTTCGGAAAGTTCTGACACGGGGGTGGATATAGAATACTGAATCCGGTGGGTTGAATCCCTGTCGACTTACTCGTGATTTTCCGTTTTGGAATGCGTGAAACATTCTCTATTTTAAATTAAATGAAGTTTCGCGGGCTAGAGTTCTCCCCGAAAATGATGTGTACGAGGCGTTAGTTAGACGATAGATAAAACATTAGATTAATACTTTTCAGGACGCCCCGTTTTCGAAAATACAAAGTTATATCGCAAAAAATGCGTTTTGATACATTTGGAATGAAACATTATTTACGGTTAATTCAGATCATATTTTACTCTTCATGACACCCGGTATCTGAAAATACAGTTGTATCGCGAAAAATGGGTTTTGTTACATTTAAAATAATACATTTTTGCGATTAATTTAGATCATATTTTACTTTTCACGACACCTGTTTCCGAAAATACAAAGTTATATCGCGAAAATGTGTTTTTTTACATTTAAAATAAAATATTTTTGCGATTAATTTAGATCAAATTTTACCTTTCACGGCAACCCGTTTCCGAAAATACAAAGGTATATCACAAAAAAATACGTTTTGTTACATTTATTTTGCATTCCCAATAAAATACATATTTTCCCTAATTAAAGTCGTCGATGAATCTGTTCCTGTCGTTCAAGCTCGACACACGTTTGGAGGAGTGTGGGGCGGTTTTTTGGTCAACGATAAATTAAAAAGTTGCCACACGTTATTTGTATAACGATAATAACTGAAAATTAAGATTTTATAATAGAAGTGAATTTGTCTCAAGATGTTATTTTACGATTCTTGCCCACAGAAAATAAACACGCTGACAGGCTTGGTTATATTTGATATTCGTTTAATTTATTTTACACTATTAATAAACGCGCCACACCAATTGCGGCCATATAAATTGCAGTCGCATCGGTATGGACTGTATGTTTTTGGCGCTCTCACATTAATAATAATTTTCAACAAAACAATACCCCGACGGTCATTAAAGCTGAATTCGTTACCGAGTAATTCACAATTTTATTTACGAAATTTGCAATTTCAAGATCTCACTTGACGATTTTGATGATGTCATGCCCTAATTATTACTGCTTAAATGGCTCAAAATACAATAAATGTAATCATTTTCGACGATAACAGGCGCAACAATTCGTAAACGAGCCGTTATAACGAAATTCGCGATTGATTTTACCTCTCTCTTGTTTACAATTTTAACATCCCGCCGGCCATGTATGGTCGAATAAAATGTTCACATATTCGAAACATGACTTGGCCAAGGATGGAAGGGATCACTAAAGAGCTAATAGAAAGTACATACGCGAGGGTATGATATTAATATCGAGAATATTTACGAGCATATCACAGGACGGAAATATTTTGCACCCGGCTGTTTGTTGGCAGAACAACGATATGCTAAAGTTAATAATTGATCGAATACAGGGAAGTATTTATTTATCATCTCACTTGCGAACATCGAGGTTTTGGCGGAATTGCACGATCATGTTGTCTTTCTTAAATATTCATGTAAAATGTTCTTTTTACTTTTGCGTCTTATTTATATGTCGGGTTTTCATTTATTTTAAATTCGAAATTGTCCGAAATACTCCAACAGGTGTATAAGTACAATAATAATAGTACTTGCCAAAGTACTTACCAGGGAAGTTTAATACACACGATGTGTTATTAAGGGCGTCGTAACTCCCATTTTTTAATTTGATTGTTTCACATTCTGCTTAAAAAACAACGTCGTTTTGCAGTCATCTAACGTAACTCTCGCGACCAAATCTTTTTTGTTTTATATGGCAATTTATTGCCGATTGAATTTTAATTGTGTTTTAGGCTAAGTTATTTTCTGTTTGTTGGTTTCTAAACTTTACAAACTTGGGTAGCAATTGATATTAATGTGAGATTTGTGCATATGAACGATTGAATATCGCGACTGGATGTCCGATATCTGAGAATGCGTACTTCTCTTTCAACATTAATTTTCAGGATATCAGCGTTCATGTGGTCGAATAAAAATTATTTATCAAATGGATTGGTATTTCACCCTAGTTATATTTCGTGTACCTTCGCAAAAGAAAACTCTTTGGTGTCATCGTTCCTATTGGTGTAATTGAAATATATGGAAACTTCGCAAGTGGCGTTGTGATGCGAATATTTGATACTAGGTCAGCAGCATTACAAAGAGTGCTATTTATGAATGCTGAAATTACATGGCATCACTAAACATTTTGCCAATATATGATGTTTTCTGCCCGATTTAAACTAACTCGCAAGCAAACCAAGGCATGTCGACATTTAAAAATTACTTGTCTTTCGGTAAGCTCTGAAATAGTATAATATAAATGTAAATGAGAAATTAGGTCACGCTTAGCTCACGAAACCAGAGGATTTTCAAAGTGACATTGTGTAATATTTCGGGGAAAAAAAGTTGAAAGGAAAGTAGGTCAACCTATCTTCTAAAACAGGGGGATTATTTTGCACGGGATTTGTACAAATGATTCACCCTGTAACTAATATGGTTTCCAGCCTGCGTGTATCAATTGTTGTCTGTTAGATGGAAGGAGTAACAAATGTGAAAGCCTCTTGTTCACGCAAGTAAGCAACTGACACATGATACATTGCATGAAAGTTTTGTCCGCCGCAGATGTTAGCAGATGTCCTTTCGTTGCCGATGAATTCGCTTATTTTAATTAAACATGAATTCGCTTAAAGGGAACTCGTTAACGGAAAGGCTTCTCTTTAATTCATAATATTAACCGGAGTAGCGCTTTTTCGAGTATCTATGCTGTTTTAAATGGGTTATATTTATATGAAAGGCTAGGGCACCTAACTTGTTAAAATCGGCAAAAGCACTTTCGCACTTTTTTTTGCGACTGCGAAGCACTTTCGCACTCATAATTCGCTTAGAGTTAACACTGGTGTTCACTGATAAATTATGTGTTTCTCATTATATTTCCTAGAAAAAATGTGATGCATGTGCTTCAGTGTGTGCCGCATTCAGATCGGAAAATAGCAAAATATTTGTTGTTGCAAGTAAAGACAAAACAAAGGAAACAACTCAGTACTACATGACTCCTATTGTAGCGAGAGAACACATATCAGAATTATGGAATAACGATAGAGAATTATTAGCAAACATCTATGGAGCTTTTCATGATGCTTCCTTTTCTGATAAAAAGCATTCTGCTACTGGTAAAAAGTTCCGTGTTACTCTTCAATTTACTTTACTGAACTGCTGATCAAGAACCTTTTTTTTTTTCTAGTCATTCATTTTGTGTTATATATGCAGAACCTAATACCATCTTATGATATAACCAAAAATAAATGTATTATTGGTGGATTTAATCTTGCATATTATATATTTGAAATGAATCATATAATCTGATAAAAGGTTTACAAAGTAACATACATTTATAAATTTTGACTAGATTTAAGTTTCTCTTGCTATTTTGATTGTTTTACCTAATGTGGTATCGAAAAATATCTGGAGGCATTCCTATACTGAGTGGTCTAGAAGTTTTTATTTTGCATAATGTTGCACATCTGCTTTAGATCTTACAAATCCTGAATCCGGTGATTTATTAAAGACGCCTGAAAGATCTTCTGCTATAGATGTACTTTTTTTAACTGTTATACCTGTTCCCCCTTCCAAGTGAGTTGTTGTTTTCTGATGCTTTGATTTACCATTGAGTATTCTCATTTTTTTTAATCTGACGTCTATTTAAAAAAAAAATTCTGGAATTTGAAATGTTCCCAAATTTGCTAGCTCAGCAAGGCCTACCCAATTTTTTACTTTCAAATTCTTTTATTCAATGATTCATAACTTCTATGACAGGGGTGGGCACAATTTTTTAGTATAAGAGCGGCATGCTGCAAGTCGGAACTTTAAAAGAGCCGCAGAATTTGTGAATTTCTTTTTATTAAAAATTTAAAATACCATGAACAGAAAAGAAATTCACACAAGAGTCTTTTAACAATAAATGGATAAACATGGCAGCTATTCTCAAATATATGCACAATATGAGCTCATTTAATTTGTGTTTTCTTATAGCTGATTTACGAGGGTAGTCTCGTAGGAAGTTTTCAGGATTCGTTCCATGGTGCCATTTAACATTGCTGACTTTATTCTGACTTAGTAGCTTATGGCAGATTAAGCACAAGGGTTAATTCTCCTGACTGGTAAATGCGTATTCTTCTTCCCATTCTGAATTGACAACTCTGCTTTTGTCTTCGTACTTTCGTTTCTTAATTGATGACATATCGCACAGTAACTTAGACTAACTAACCGCAATCAAGCTGCATTACCGCTGGCGCATCAATAAACATAGACCATTGTGACGAAAGATTTGCTAACTTGACTGACTTAAATTCAAAATTCAACGCTACAGCGATTTTCATACTAAAACATAATTTGTCTTAATCATTGACGAAAACTTGTTTACAAATTTTAATAAATTAAAAAGTTTACATTAAAGTTTTTCTCTTAGTTAAAATTTTGATAACAATTTATGTTGGCGAGAAGAGCCACACAAAAAGTCTCGCGAGCCACGGTGTGCCCACCCCTGTTCTATGAACATACAGGGGCCGCAGGCCAAAGATCTTTCTCACTAAGTTGCACTGGCTAGGTACTGTCGCATATTTCAAACTTTGTTCGATTAATGCAAAGACAAAACAAAAATATTCATATCTGATTGTTTATGGTATTTTTCAATTTTAAGCGTTTTTCCTTACATCGAAGAGATATTTAAATTCATCACATTTACCAGCCAGCACGCTTAAAATATCATATCTTTATTTTACTTGATGTGTTACTTCATAAGTGTATTTCTGTATTTTAAGATATCGACCTGTGATGGCCGTGAATGGGAAAAAATTTGAAAATCCACAGACAGCAATTTATTCCAAGGTTTATATATTTTGCTCTCTTGATTTTTCTTCTAAATAATAAACAAGATAATATTTATCGTATTTTCTTTATGTATAATAATGCTATACTGTTAACAATAAACCATTCTGTCCTATAACTCTTATGACTTTTATAGAAATGGCCTTTTAGTTAGCAGAGGTATAAAATCGCCGGTGCTCCAGAAGTATTTGTACCAATATGGAGATAATTAATTTGGTTTGCCTAATTTTAAGTTGGGTAAAGTGACATGAAACCTATGAGCAGGGGAGTATTCACTTGGCTAACACAGACACTCCCTGAACTTGTAATAGAACTAAAAAAAGGAAAAATCGAAATAAAATTATGGTCTGACCCTAACCTGGTACACATACTACGGAGTACCAAATTTTCTGAGTACTAACATGGACATGCTCATAGTCATGTTGAACCTGACACCAACTACTGCTATCATTCATCTGTTTATTACATTATTTCTCACCTAGATCATACTTGATTGTATATTACTTCGAACGCTGATGGTAAATTTAAATGAAGAAGAGCCTGGACTTGTAGAAGATGTTTCAAATAAAAAAATAAATGTCAGAAGTCTGGGAAATGATGAACCAGTGGAAGAAGTCAAGGTTAATTTTAATCAATTTTGTAGGGATGGAAAATTCAGAATACCCTACCTGATCCTAAATATTCTAATCCACAAGGATCCGATTAGGGATCGAATTTACAGCTTTTTTGACACTGTGCTGTGATTTTTCTATTTCGAGTGCACATTTTTAATTGATGGCCCACATTTCCTCCGCCAAGATTCTCTGTTTTGACCCTGTTTTTGGTCGCGAGGCATACATAAGTGTGGATCGCATCAAACATAGTATTGGGCCAATGGCTGGTATATTTCAGAATAAAATCACTGAAACAAATCTGATAGTATCAATCTAGCACACTTTCAGTATTGTTCTGTTCAGCTACCATATCGATAACAATAACTACAACTTCTCTGGTAATATATGTTTATACAGTTACTCAGTTGCAGGCTTGCAGCAAACTTTGATTTTTGATATTTGAATATTATTTGTGAAGGATCCTAAAATTCTAATTTTTAAATAAAAAATGCATTGTACTAACAATATGCATTGAAAAGACTGAATATTTCCTAAAGTTCTTGTATCCGATAAGACAATCAATGTCCTTTGTTATTGGAGAAATCAAACCGGCAACGATTTATATTGCCCAATACTAACACATATCATATGCTTGCTCATTGATGTCAGCAGACTGTTGGTATCAGATACCAATGCAAAGTTCATCAACTTTGTTATTTCCAAAGATTTCAGATAGAAGTCTAGACATGCTGAAAGCAATTCCAGGCAAAACGAAAGCAGAAAAGCTGGAGAATTGTTGGGATCGCTTGCAACAGCATGTTAATATGATATTCGATTCTGAATCGGGTCGATCTTCATTGCCATCATCTGAGCAATGTCCTGGAATCAAACAAAAATTGGAAAAGAAAGCAGGTCAAGTTTTATTTGACAGTGTTTAACATTACAATCAAGTTTGCTGAATGGTGTTTGATTTCATGGTATATCGTGTTTCAGTAGATAAATTAAAATGTAATGGAAAATAAAATGGTAAACTGAGTTTGTAGGTTCTGGTTGGGACCAACTGATGTTTTTTTGTTATTAAGATGCTCTTGCTAGATGATCATTGCAAGAGTCAAGGAGTGTTGTATTTTATCAGCCCATCTCTATGGATATCCTCTATTTGAAATAGTTATTAAATTTTATCCTCATTTATTATTTTCATTAAAAATTCAGGACTTTTTCGAAAAAACATGATGGGAAAAAGAGTTAATTATGCAGCAAGATCTGTGATATCTCCGGATCCTTATATTGCTACACACGAAATAGGAGTCCCTTTATGTTTTGCTTCCAAACTAACCTATCCCACACCAGTCACTCCATGGAATGTCAGGCAACTTCGGGAACATGTCATCAATGGACCAGATGTAAGACAATAAACTATTTACTCTATTTTTTCGATTACTAGTGAGGATTACTCGCTTTCACTTAATTTCTATCATATATGCACTTGTTTGTCTAATGTTAAAAGGATTGTAGATGGGCATCTTAGGGCTATTCCAAGTGACACTACAGGACAATTCCAGAAATTTTGCATTTTGTTGGATGCAATATATTTTCACATTTTCAGCTACATGTTTTGTTTCATTGTCCAATCAGTTGCTTTATTGAATATGTAAAAAATTGCACAAAAGTTACACCCAAGACTTACTTAGTAGATAAAAAAATGTAGTAAAATATAGCGTGACACTACAGGACGGCAAATCCACCATGCACTAACAGTACGTTGTGTTGTGCTGTAAATTTTTGCGATGATACAGTAGGAGCCCATAGTATTTTCTGGTGCAGTAGCTGAACTACCCCTCTATGTGTTGCTCAAGTTACTTAATGTAACACTGTAAATCCATGCCAATAATGTGCATATTGTATGTGACACTACAGGACGTGACACTACAGGACATTTTTCCACTTCGGAATAGCGGCCTCTATCATCTCTCAAAATTCTGGTAATAAATCGTTAAATGGGTGAAGAAATGTCCTACAGCACTGCAAACATTTAAACTTTATTAACTTAAATCCAGTGTGTCAATTCCATATGAAATAACTGTACCACACAATCAAACACTTTGTGTCAGGAATCATCACAAAATATGTCAATTATACCAAAATTTCTACATTTCAGGCAATTTTTTTTACCCATCAAAAACCTGGGTGAAATTTTAAATTGTTCGATGAAATGAATGCAGTCCAATAAAATTCCAATGTCTTTTGATATCAAAAATAAAAAAAAATTACTTTCACTACACATTTTGAAAAATTGATGGAATTCAACTTTTGCTTGGAATGGCCCCTTAGCATTAATTCATTGCTTGGGTATTTGTGTAATAGGGGGTTTACATTTTTTTTTTAATCGAATATCGAATTAAAATATTTGAAAGTCGAATCTTTCGAATCTGATTCCATTAAGCTTTTTTTTTATTGCATGCGTATGTTTGCCCAAAGTCACAAAAAAGCTCAAATCTAGAAGAAAAAAACTTGAAAGTGGAATATGCTAGATAGCAAGAATGGCAAGGTTTTTTCAGGGAATGAGCCACACTCATTTCCAACATGATAAAAAATATGTAGGTCATATATCACCAATATCTTCATAGATGAAAAACTTGCTGTTGCAATTTATCTGTGAGTCTTGACAATACTGAGTTATAATTGTGTATCTTTGAGCTCTACACATGCAATATCAATACTGAGGCAATTTGATGGAATTCATATGAGAAAATAAGCAGGGAAAAGTTGTATTGTACTGTTATGTCATAAACATCGTAACAGCACTGCTTTCCCTAGTCCCACACCAGTATATGTGACTGTGGTTTTTTTAGTCCTTGTCCTCTTGAATTAGGGCCGGCCTATTACGGTACCATTTTTTTATATTTGATATATTAGTACTATTTTTTGTACATAATTTGTGAGTTGGGGAAATACATGAAGAAAAGCTGCAAATATTTATGCTAGTAGCATAGAGTAATATGACAAAAAACATCCTAATCGCATCTGAATAACTATGAATAGGAAATGCTCGCAAGAATATGCTTAAAGAGATAAAATTAACCACAAATAAATTAAATTAATTTTGAGAAAAATAATCGTTCAACCGATTACGACTGCGAATAAAAATTTTCATAAATATCAAGGACACGAATATTTTGTGGCTCACATCGTTATTGGCAAACTCTGGCTTTTTTATTATCGTGGACTATTTTTAATTTCGTAATTCAGAAAGTCCAAATGTGAGTAATAGACGCGGCGCTGACGAGCGATAATTGATCGACACTGTATCTCGATCTAACATGGTCGCTGAAGCTAAAGTAAGATGACATTCGCACAGTATGCTTGATCGGGTATAAAATCTGGCACATGTTATGACGTGTGCTAGAAATAATCCGGAATGTTTTATTCCCGCTTGTATCGCGTTAACAAAATTAAAAGAAAATACATTTCTTTTGATTGAACAGCTGGAAAAAGAAATGTAAATTATGTTCATCTCATTTCGTTTTCCGCCACTCGAGTGGAAGCCTGACAAACACAAATAAAATAAATATATATTTTAGGATGAGAAACATGATTATTTAACTCAGAACAAAGTTTAAATTAAATTTTAATCAAAATTAAATATTATCTAGATGTCTGTAGCTGATTCTTTATCCAATCATGCCTGGTGTACCATAACTTAGTCGCAGCGCAGGTGTGCTGTTGAAAATGTTCATCAAAATTGTCACGGATTTTCAGGTATATGATCCATTTAAATTCGGGCATAATAGAAACTTAGGCCATTCAGTGGAAAACTAAACTTGCAGTCAGGGGGAAATTATGCAACACATCATCTCAAGTGATACAAAAAAGAGTGTGTTGTGCTGAACTTGAAACTAATGACGGCAGATCAGTCACAAAGTCAAGTCATTTTCATTTCCATCCCGTAATTTGGTGTTATTTGGAGAGCCGCATAAACGTATTCAGCAGATTTGATGCCATCGAAAACAACGATTAACAAGCGCTCATGTTTGTTTTTTTGGTAAATCGCTCTTTTTCCAAATCGCGTAAATCTGATTCGAATCGATTCGGAAAAGATGCAAATCGATCTGATTCGTAAATCCAAAAGTGACATCGCTACTCAAGACACTATAGCATAAAAACAACATGGTGAAGTTGATAATTATTTTTAGGCTTACCCTGGTGCAACAATAGTTGTTCAGGAGGATGGGTCAAAAATTCTTTTAAAAGCTGATAATCCTCGACAACGACTCGCAATTGCAAAACAACTTATGGCTCCTCAAAGTGACACAAAGAAGCGAAAACCTGGATTGAAGGGAATTAAAACTGTGATGCGGTATATGCAAGTAAGTATCTCTTGTCAATTATTGAGATATGTTTTGTTTTTTATTATAGTGTATTTGTTCAATGCAGTACATATTCCAGCTTAGATTCTAATAATTAGTTCACCATCTTCCCATTCGTCTCAGTTACGGTAAGCTAATAAATCAATTTCATCATTTGATTATGTTGAATGAGGAATTTATATTTGTGGATGCATCACCCACGAATGTATCAAGACTTTATTTTTTTCACTTCATATTTTCATTTTACCCATCTATAGCCCTTTTTCTCTCTTCTCAAAGTTACTACTTGGACCATGAAAATGATATTTTCATCCTATGTTTAGAATGGTGATGTAATGCTATTGAATCGACAACCTACTCTCCATAAAGGATCTATAATGGCTCACAAAGTTCGTGTATTGCCTGGGGAAAAAACATTGAGGCTACATTATGCTAATTGTAAATCCTACAACGCAGATTTTGATGGTAATTATGATTGTTTTGGAAGTGCCAACTGCTAACAATTGATATCAATGACAAAGACACCGATGGAGATATGTTATATAATGATCTGGTATTTTCGAATTCTCACTAGGTTTTTCATTTGAGAAAATGGGTCTAATATGTTTTTTTTTCTGCTTTTCATGCCTATTAGCAAGCTCATAGCATTAAAAACTGTTCAAGCTGAACTGTTGCCAGTACAAGGTATGATTTACTACTGGCATAGCGGGCTCGAAATATTCAATACTTTATATTTTTTTTTATTTGAGGTGATGAAATGAATGCACATTTTCCTCAAAACGAACTATGTAGAGCAGAAGCCTTCGAATTAATGTCGACCAACTCTCAGTACCTTGCTGGCAAAGATGGGAAACCTCTAAGTGGATTGATCCAAGATCATATGGTTGCTGGTGTTCACATGTCTATCAGAGGAAGGTAAATATGGCGGTTAGGGCTTGTCAAACGTTAAGAATATTTGAAAATATAGTAATTTCAATAAACTACCGAGCCAGGTCTAAATGTCCTTTTTTGTTGTTTTTTAACCAAAATGTCTGTTTAATCGACAATAATAAATTTTAATGGTTGACTTCAAAGTTTGAACATTCCATTTCTTAATAATAAAATAGTTACCAGTCATTTTGCAAGCACTCTCAAATTTACAGAGGGGAAGGGTATGCCTACTTTTTTCAGTTATAGTCTGGAATTTTTGAAGTAATATTTGGTATAGGCATTTTTGAATTACTGAATGAAATATTATTGTTCAAAGTTACAAAAACTGATATGGCTAGTTCATTTGAGAAATTCACTATGTCAGAATTATTGCATTCGTATTTTGATACAGTTTGGATGCAAAAATATAATTTCACAGTATTTCGCCGGATGAGAACAGAACAGGCCTAAGTCACAATTTTGAGTTTTGAGAAAAACGCAAAAAACAATTTGGAATTTTTTTAATTTTGAATTTCTAGATATTCACACTTAGTAAAGACCTGAGCTCTGGTTATTTTAATGTGGATGTGAATATCTTTGTAATCAATATTTTTTGGCACTTCAGCTTCAATTCCTTCCTGCTTTATTAACCCCATAATGGACTTTGGCCCATTCTGTTCTCAACAAATTCTGAATTTTTTTGTATGGGATGCAAGGTAAAACAAGGTGACTTAGGCCTAGGTTGCACTGAAGAAATTTTTAGGGATGTAAGTTTCGGACATTTCATTTTTGATGTTCATGCCCATCATATTGGAACTTGGGACTATCTTTTTTCAGTATTTTGGGGTTTTGAGCCATGCTTTACAAGGTGGTGGTCTTGAAATTCTGAATTTCATAATATTAAAAATTTTAGCTGGACTTAGGCCCATTCTGTTCTTAACTTCTACAGGCCTAAATCCAGCTTAAATTTTTATTATTGAGAAATTCAGGACTTCAAGACCACCACCTTGTAAAGCATGGCTCAAAACCCCAAAATATTGAAAAAAGTGAATTTTGCAAAAATGTGACTTAGGCCCCTTCTGTTCTCAGCCTGCGATTTTGTCAGCTTGCAAAAACTTTCTTTATTTAAACAATGGATTTACTAAAATAGGTACTTTACAAAAGAACAATACTATCAACTTACATACAATGCATTAATGCATATTCCAAGAAAAATCAAGCTTCTACCTCCAACGATTTTGAAACCCGAAAAACTATGGACAGGAAAGCAAGTATGTTGATTGTTGGTTGTTTCATAATGATATAATATTTTCTCTGTTAGAGATAATCGAATGTTTTCACTGTTTTCATAATATTAGTTCAGTTGTTAGCCAAACTGTGGGCAACTGACCAATGATGGGTATTAAAGTGAATTGCAAAAAAATAACTAGAATATTGATCTATCTAGGTTTATTAAGAATGCTCCTTTATATTCATTTAGCCTCTTTAGAAGTGTGTGTACCAATATGGAGGTAACTAATTTTGTTCGCCTACTGTACAATAGGTTGTGTAAAGGGACTGAAACCTATGAACAGGGGGTATATTCACTTGGATAACACAGACAATCCCCAAACTTGTAATATAACTAAAATAAGGAAAATTAGAAAAAAATTATGGCCTAACCCTAACCTGATACACACACTATGGGAGTACCTTAGTTCAAATAAATTTCACCACTGTATCCTGTATGTTTACTTTGCCTTCATTTTGCTCCAAGTTGTATGGATGGTAAATATTTCTTTTTATTGTGTATTCAGATTTTCAGTACAATATTGCTCAACATAACGCCTACTGGTTCTCCATTGCTATATTTACAAGGATCATCGAAGATTAGATATTCTGATTGGATAAAGGAGAATTCCAGAGCTCATTACATAAAGCCAAAAGAACTATGTGAATCAGAGGTTGGATTAAACCAGTTTCCCTTATTTTGTGTTTATCCTAGCATGTAATACTATACAGACTATGGCTATTTTATTGCCAAAAGTGATCTTGGAGGATAAATTGTTCTGCTTAATAAGAAAAGACTTGAAATTTTGTTTATTCCTTGTTTTCCAGTGAAGATTACTGAATTTTACTCATTCCAGGGCAACTGTTCGTTTCAAATAAAAATAGCCACAATCACTGATTCTTGTTTGTATTTCTGAACTATTCTGTAATTTCTGCATTCTAGTCTTGTATCTACAATATACCAGTAAATATATTTTTAGGTTGTTATCCGGGAAAGTCAACTTCTTTGTGGAGTGTTGGATAAAAATCATTATGGCGCATCAGAATATGGACTCGTTCATGCAATGTATGAGCTTTATGGATGTAAAATCAGTGGAGAATTATTAACATGCCTCGCAAGATTATTCACTGCATTTTTACAGCAGTATAGAGGATTTTCATTAGGTTCGAGTTAGGCATAACAAATGCTTCAAAATTTTCTATGAATTTCTGTTTTAGATTAGATTATGGGGACTTACCTAAGCCACTAATGTCCAGAATAAATAAATTGAATATATTTGATGTAGTCAATTTTCATTTTTGCAGATAATGTTCTGTATGGGCACTAGACATTTTACTCTATATGAGAATATGTTTGGTCAAGTATTTAAAAGCCGTAACAAATATGAAATCAAGCAGAACAATTTTACTTCATATCATTGATATTTTCCAGTTGAATATGACTTAATAAATGATTAAATGATAAATTGATTACAATAAATTAATAAATGTATCTGTTATATTATATTGAAATGTTTTCAGAATGTTTTTGGAATAGTGGGTTAGGCCCCTATTTGGTTTTGTTCATTTCTAACTTAGTGCATGTTTGGTTGTGAATTTAATTCCAATCGTGTCCGAAAAAATTGTCCTATGAAATCTCGCCGCAGGATATTTCACCGCATGAAAAATGCTGCAAGAACATTTTGCTGTAAAACAAGTATTTGTGATAAAAACAGTTACCATAGGTTTATAGGGTTATGGTATGCTCTTAAATAACGGTTCTTTTCTAAATGAAAAGGTACTTCAAAAACCTAACTGTTTTTATATCACAAATACTTGTTTTACAGCAAAATGCTCTTGCGGAGATTTTTCATGCGGCGATTTTTCCTATGTGTCGAAATTTTCTGCGGTGTAATTTCCTATCTCAAATTTTCCTGCGGCGAATTATCCTAGAACTAATTCTAACATCATATTCTTCATTGATGTTGGTATATTATGGCTTTATAAGTTTTATATCGATATTAGGTGTGGAAGATATTCTCGTAACAGCTCCAGCAGATTCTGGTAGAAAAAAAGTTATAAAGAAAACATTGAACAGTGGACAGAGTGATCTTGCTGCTGCTGTTGGTTTATCTGATGAAAATGATGTTGAAGGTGGGATTATATTTTGTAATAGTGAAATAATTTGAAAATATAATAAAATGAAAATATATTCTTGAGATTGGGATTTGTATGAAATTAACTGAACCATATAGCAAAATAGGTTGATTGAAGATATAAATTTTTTTTTGTTTTGCAATTCTAAATCATTGATCAGCTTTTATCACATCATAATGGCAAATTTGCATAAAGCAATCTTCCTTGAATATTCAGAACATTTCATAGTGATCCAAATGTATCGAAAATCTGTTAGTTCTCGACTTTTAGCATTTAACCTTTATGAGTCTGTTAATCTATTTTTTCAGCAATTGCATCAAAAATGCAGAATGCTCATATCTCAAAAATAACTGAAGTTGAAGATGGACTCGCAGTATTTGATCATGCAATCAAGAAAACAAGCAATGATGTGAATGATAGAATTGCAAAATATTGTACTGGGAATGGACTAAATAAAACTTTTCCTGACAACAACTTACAACTCATGGTTTTATGCAAGTTCTTACTTAAATATTATGCTATTATTAAATGGTAGTTATATTTCTAAGTGTTATAACTTTATTAATTGATAGAATTTAAATGTGGTTCTGACTTAATAATTGCATTGCAATACATTTTTTTTTGAAAGATAGAAATAGTTCATTTCTACCTATGCTACTTATAACTCCATCGGCTATTTCGAATTAATTTTCGCAATTTTCTAGCTGGTGCAAAGGGTGGTGCGGTCAATTGTATGCAGATATCATGTTTGCTTGGACAGATTGAATTAGAAGGTCGTCGTCCACCACTGATGTGCTCTGGAAGATCTCTTCCTAGTTTTCGACCATATAATATAACACTACGAGCCGGAGGTTTCATTTCTCAAAGGTAAGATTTAGATTATTGTCTTTTTTTACCTGATCAATTTTCGAAAATGTCAAAACAGAAATATTCGTATAATTGTTTGAAAACTATATCAAATGCACACATAATCAGTTGACATATTTTATAACAATTTTACTTAAAGTACAAATACATATGCATCAGCAAAATAATACAATGGATATTCACTCTATACATGGTGAGGTGTGTTGCCTGCAGTATAGCAACTACACATTAGTGCGGTAATAATAAAAACAAGGGGCATTTGTACAGTGTATATGTAATATAAAACTTTTATAATTCATTGAATTGTACTTCCATCTTTTCAAAGCAAAGCCATTTTTTAAAATTTTTAATAATTCATGTTCATTATTTACTGTCAAGCTAATCAAACTAAGCACACACTGTCATTGTCCACATGAAATCGGTAATAGACATTAAATCTCCTTCTTTATATGAAATTAAAACAGAATTGATTAATATTATTTTCATATGTTTCGGTGAATAGGTTTTTGACTGGAATTCGACCTCAGGAATATTTTTATCATTGCATGGCGGGAAGAGAAGGCTTGGTGGATACTGCTGTGAAAACTAGTAGATCTGGATATTTACAAAGGTAGGTGCTTTTACTATCTAATTATTTTTGGGTCAAACATGCATAGTTGTGTATACTTGTTCAATGCTGTTACCATTTTATATCTAGGTAAAGTTAAAATATTTTATAATGAATAATCCAGTAATATGTTCGTCATGGAAGAAGTGAATTGAAATAGACTGCTGATACCAATATTTATTTTCATATTTTTATGAACAAAATAGAGTTAGGCCCAACGAAATACAACAACAATTCAGCAAGTCAATTCTAATGTACAATTAAAGTCTAACATCAACATTAATGGCATATAGTCAATAGCAACCACTGGTAAGTTAAGAACAATGTGGGAAAACTTCCCTGCCCTATTTAAAGCGGTAGACAATGGACTTAGATTTATTGATGTACTAACAGCCCAAATGGAATCTGAGAACTACCTCATACTGAGTAGTATGAGGATTGATTTCACTACAAGATCAGCAGTTGGTGGACCTTTTCAATCCATAAGTTAATGCCATGTCGGAAAAGTCTACTCTGATTGTGCTCACAAACGAAACTGACGTTTATGAATGGACTATTTCAATGTATAAACATCTCTGTACTGAAGGCCTGTGTTTATTCGAATAATTTGAATTTTGAATGAAGTTCATTGAAAATAAGATTCATAAGTGGTCATTTGTAGAAAAAGCGAAGTTTATATAGGCTTGTTAAAATAAGGGTTCACATTCCTTCCATGTTTTGTATCATGTATCAATGATTCATATCTTGTAGATGTTTGATCAAGCATTTGGAAGGAATAGTTCTTGCTTATGATTTGACTGTACGGGACAGTGATGGAAGTGTGATGCAATTTTTCTATGGTGAAGATGGATTAGATATTGGAAAACAATCGTACCTTAATACAAAACAACATCAATTTTTAATAGAAAATTTCAAGGTATTATTTGTTGAAAGGTGTTTTAGACACACTTTCAGAAGGCTTGTTTTCTTCTTCTTATTTTGTTAATATTATGGTGTTTTCATCTGGTGGTCCTTCAATGAGATAATAATTGGTTCAAATTTCATGCTTTTTAGAACCGGCATATTTAAATTGCGGTATATTGTATACCTGCAGCAAGAAAAATTCATTTCTTTCAGAAATCATTGATGATATAGTGGTTTCGTTACATGGTGAATATTTATCCACAGGCTGAGAGCAAGTTACTTCCATCATATGAAACTATTGAATCAACATGCATTGACACAACTAAAGCGGAAAAAATGTGGAGAAAATATAATAGAAAAATAAAAAGAAAGAAAAAGGCAGAAAAGAAAATCAGAAAAGAAAGAGGGGAAAGAGTTGATGACACAAGAAAATCACCTTTTTTGCAGTATTCATTAGAACACCCTGAATTAAGTAAATCCAAGGTATAGTCATCTTCTATTCATTTTTATTTTTCATATTTGTTATGTCCATCTTAACACGCTCACTAATCGTGCCTGAATTTACCTTGGTTGAAACATTGTTTGTTTCATGCATTCAAATAGAGGCGCTGCTTGATTATATTTCCTATTCCATTAACAATTTGCCTTTCACCTGATAAAATCAATATTTGGTATAAATATTATAGATTTTATTGTATAATTCTGCTTTATTGTGAACTTTAAACACCCATCTGTAAGCTATATAACTACTGTTTTAGCACTCACCTACCATCCATATCTTGAGTCTGTCATCACTGGTTTTCCTTTCTTGTATTATCTCAGAAAACTGTCTTGTTCAGATAATGCTACAATGGAGAAATCTCACTTCAGAGCAGAAAGAGCAGCTGGAAGACAAAGTTGAAATATTTAAAAATCCAGATCCAATTTTTTCGATAATAAGACCAGATATGAACTATGGATCCATGTCAGAAACTTTCAGAAAAAACCTTGAAGAATATTTGAAAACAAATCCAGATAATTTACCAGAAAAGAAGAAGAGAAAGAATAAAGTGCCAACTTTAGAGAAGTGAGTAATGGAATTTTGCATGATATATTTGGAAATGTGAGATTACTTAATAGTATATGTACAGGGTAACTCCATAAAACAGAATCCTCCAATTTTTTTATTACTATTGTAAAAATGGAGTAAATTTATTTAATTCTGTCAACACTTAAATTCTGTTAGTGTATGATTGTACCCGAAAGTTTCAGGAATTGAACAAGTTTTACAAAACTGGGGTTGGGTGCTTGGGGTTTGAGTCCGATGAATGAGGGGCTCATTTGACGTCACTGCTGACTGCGGATCTTTTTTTTTTTTGAAATCATTCTCTCAGCTAGTCAAGGGTATGATTCAATGTGTGCTGGGTTGTCTCGTAGGACCTCCAGAAGTATGTGCACCAAGATGGCTCATAACCTGAAAATAGTATGCATACCAGGTTAGGGTTCAGGTTGTGCGCCATCTTGGTGCACATACTTCGGGAGCGCCGTCTCGTATCACTGGAGCCATGGGTCATCTCGATTGAATCCCTCCACATCGTCCAATTTGATGTCCAGAACTTCCTCAGCGCCACCATGAATCGTTCCATTTTCGGAGTATTCAGCTCCTTCATTTTTGTACTTGCACCAATATGGACAGATTATAACATGTTTAGGAATGTCTCTTCTACCCACATAAAGCACTTCACTGAGTGTAACTGTCACTGTAACTCTTTCTTCGAAGGTGCTGTTCCCCAGTAAACATTATTCTTGTTATTGGCATGTCCTGGCAGCAGAAAACCAAGTGAGTGTTTGACAATTTTGCGCAGCTGATGCAAGTCTGTTTTCAATGCTAAAGAGGGCATTTGGAGTATATTCTAGAGAAAACACAACTTATTTGCAAAGCGTCCTAGATTTCTGAAACTTTTGGATACAAAAAGTTATCGATTTCATATAATCTGTTTACATGCATAGACTTTAAACACGGCTATGAGCAAGCAACAACATAATGTAATGTACCCTGCTATCGATGAATATCCATTTTATCATTACCTTTTTTAGAGTCAAAGCCATGCTTTCTCTCAAATATCAACGGTCACTTTGTCAACCTGGTGAAGCAGTTGGTTTGATAGCAGCTCAGAGTATTGGAGAACCATCTACACAGATGACTCTGAATACTTTCCATTTTGCTGGAAGAGGTGAAATGAATGTAACACTTGGTATTCCAAGGTAAAATATAAATTGATTTGTCAACCATCATATGCTAAATATAGTTGCAAATACCATGTTAATTTTGATTATTCCAATTGTCAGTTGGCTTTATATCATCAAGTATGCATTTTTGTGTGTGAATATCTCTTTACCACTTCTGATAAATTTGTTTGAATTATGCTAGGTGCCCCCTTTTCTCCAATATATTATAATACAGTATTGGATAAGTACAATAATCCACAGTAAATTCATTAAAACAGGTTGCGTGAAATATTAATGACTGCTTCAAAACACATTAAAACCCCACAAGTCATCGTTCCTGTTCTACCTGGTAAAGAAAAACATGCAAAAAAATTACAAAAAATGCTGTCCAGTGTAGAACTGCAACAGGTGAGGATGTTATTTTTGTGTTTGTGCAAAGATGGAATAGTGCAGTACATCTCTACATATAATTATCTACTTTTTCTGTGTAGAGCCTTTTTGATTTTGCTGACTTTTCTGACCTCATTAATCAAGTTAAAATATTTTTATTTAGGTTTTGAACAAGATCCATGTCCAAGAACATTTGGATGTTGATTCGAAAACCGCTGGTCATAGGTCACGTCAGAGCAAAATTATTTTGGAACTTCTACCAGAAAAACAATTTGCCAAAGAAACTGCGATAAGAAGACCCGCAATATTAGGTTTCATAGAAAAAACGTAAGAGAAGTGTAATGCTCCCTTTTTTGTTTGATTGTTTGTACTCAAAAAAATAATCAGAACGGGCAAATCAAAACATATGAAAGAATGTTCATTCAATATTTTGAATGACCTGCAATACAAAGATTAAGCCGCTTAAAGTGATCATTTTCGATATAATTGCGAGTTTACACCAACCCATCATACTGTATATCCACTTTAATTCTGAATATTCATTATAATGCAAATTTAGAAACTTCTTGAATTTACCAGTGTAACTATAGTTTTTAGATGTTTATATGTCTTTTCAGATTTATTCCAGCTCTTTTAAGCAGCATAAATCAGCAAATTAAACGCAGAGAACAAGAAGAAATGGTTTTCAGTCAGAAAAAAGGTCGTAGTAATTCCAATGAAGATTCTATTAACGCTGAGCCGGATGAAGATATTGGAGAAGAGGTTATTACAAGATGATAAAATAGTGTAGTGCAATAATGCATGAAGTACAAAGTTGCAATTTACTGCAAATGGCACTTTTCAATAAATAAAATGTTTAAAACATGCGTTCTAGGTAGCATAAATTTTAGTATTATGTTTAAGCTTGATGATTTGAATATATTTACAAAGATTTTTCCCAGTGTAACCTTATTTATGAACCGCTAATGACCCTGTAAAAATTTTGGATTATTTTCTCAGCCAACCACTGAGCCTGAATCGAAAGACAAAGTAAATGATGAGGATGACAACGATGATGATGATGAAGCTTTTGACCAAGATGATGCAAAGAAAGGAAAAAATAAACAAGATTTTGAAGAAGAAGAAGAAGAGGAAGATGAAGCAGGTTGAATCGATGCAGTTAAATTTCAAATAGTACTAGCAAAAATATAAAATTTCGTTGCTTTAAATGAGAAACATGCATTGAACAGTTTTAAGTTTTGGTAATTGCAATCTTGCACATTACTATTGGGCACTTTCAATGAAATTTTGTAAAAACGAAATTCAAGATCAAAAACTCGCGAAAAAATTAATACATTCTAATACATTCATTTTCCAAGCAAACTAACATTGTCGCAGCCAACATAATTTAGAAGAGTTGTAATTTAATTTGAGATGTATTTTTTTATTTTTTCTATTTGCTTTTATATAACGTGTTCATTGTCTTATTCAGATGCTCAAGAAGTCGATCTGGAAGAATTACCCCAAGAGTTTTCGGGTAATTCTAATTATTTCAGTTTTAAGTTCACTTTATTGTCTCATTTGTCTGTGATACTTCTTGAGTTGAGCACTTTGTGTGATTCCATTAACATGTTGTTTTTGTAAGTATTGTAATAAGTGTCTATTTCATACAGATTTGGAATGTATTCTGGATAAAACTGTTTGTCAAGATTACCAGGAGAGAGTATCAAAAGTAAAACAAATGAGTGTTCAAACTGTTTGTGTTCTGGATTATAGTTTTGATGCTGAAAATAGTGGATGGTGCAAGGTATGTGATACATATCACCTTATTAAGATTTTTCACAAATTGTGCAATGTGACACATTACGTAACAAGTAGTTAAGCAAGTCGAGAATGAATCTAAAATAGAAGATAGTGAAGCATTATTCATCTGGAAGTGAATCTTATATATTTAATCTTAGATAATCATTGATATGCCCCTGAAAGCTGCACAACTCAATATAGTGTCAATAGTGGAGCACGAAGCGAAGACATGTTATGTTCGGAAGATCAGTGGCATAAGTCGTTGTGTGCTCCAACAAAATCCACAGAATTCTGAGGAGAAGAGAATTGCCACTGAAGGAATAAACTTTTATAAACTCTTTAATTACGGGGATGTAAGTCATGATTTTGAGTTTACTGCTTTTATTTCATTTGGTGTGTAGTAGAAATAAAACAATTCTGTACTATTGTATACATTTTTGAAATCTATAATTTATCTATGTGTTGTCATTTCTTTGATTTTTGGACAAATCAGGCTTCAATATATTTTATCAACCCTAGGTGTTCACCATGGAAAGATAGATAACACTTAACACATGATGTTCTGATTTGTCTTAACAGATATTGGACCTTAGACGGTTACAATGTAACTGTGTTCACTCGATTGAAGTAACATATGGAGTTGAAGCTGCTGTTCGTGTAATTCAAACAGAAGTTGCGAATGTGTTTGGTGCCTATGGTAAGTCATGATCTTGTGACAATGGTAGTTTTATTGTATAACTTATACTGGAGAATGCAATAACTTCGATGATAAATTTATTCTATATCAATGTCATTTTCTCCTAAAACTGCATTAGATTTCTTTTTTCTTGTTTCATTCAGGTATTCAAGTTAACAAGCGACATTTAAGCTTGGTTGCTGACTATCTTTGTTTTTCGGGAAAATACAATGGTTTCAATCGAGCTGGTATCGATAATTGTGCTTCACCCTTGCAACAAATGACTTATGAAAGTACAGTTACTTTTCTAAGAGATGCTGCATTAGCAGGTTTGAGTTTTTTTTTACCTTGTCTATTTTGTCTGAGGAAAAATTACAAAACATGGTCAAGTTTTATTCACGATAGACAATGCATCACATAATTGAATATACTTGTCGAGATCATCTGATATAATATGGCATATTTATGGAACGCAACAAAGTTACTTGATAGTCTTACTTACTGTTTCGCTGACAATGATTCTGACCTTATAATATTATTATATCAGGATAAAATGTTCATATTTACCTCACTAGTGACAAAATTGTACTTACCTAAGATTGGTTCACTTTCCTGAGCCTTTTGGACTACTTTCCGTAAAATTTGTGTTTTGAATACGTTGGATGTGGTCAAGTAGTGGGGAGGCCAGTTGTCAACTTGAAATTTCTTGTGGAATTGACCTAAAATTAGCAATGTTTTTTACTATAGGACGATGGGATTCATTGCAATCACCTTCTGCAAGAATCGTAGCTGGACAGATTGTTAAAACTGGTACTGGTTGTGTCAATCTACGTATTCCACTGCTGGGATTCTGAGTTAGTTTAGTATTCATCAGGATTGTTTTTCATTATTATTTTGTGATGGACATGTTGACCCAAGGCCGTTATATTCGCTTTTCAATTTTTTGTGAATTGAATCATGGTTATTTATTCAAACACTGCCAATCCACTTTGCTTTTTATAAAACAAGTAGCTCATTTATTGTACTTGTGCCACAAATCATTCTTTTTTCATTACTCTCTCTCTTGACTCTGTTCACTGGTGTGTACTTCAGTACAGTGGTGTGGTATTAATAAAAGATTACTGCCAATCCATTAAAATTTTGAAAACAGTGATGTATTTCTTGTTCAATATAATAATTTTGCTTTACGATATTCTCTTGGATTATGCCTAATTTATTTTTTTGTGCATAACAATCATGGGTGAAAAAAAATGAAACCTAGACAGAACTAGATTCTAATTTTGTTACACATCATGTCACTCATGTATATATTTTCAGTGCTTGGGTTTTAAGCCCGGCTATTGGATAGTATGCAAATGTTCGTGGTCTGCTTGCTTCGGTTTGTGATCACAGAAGCCTAATCAGTAAGAGATTTTTGACTACAGACAGGGAGTATTTGGTTAATTTGAATCAATTGACTTGATTAATGCCTGGTGGATTGTTGTATGCCATGGAATTATCGATAGCTAGCCCAAATATTTTACGATGGATGTCAACCTGGAAACCAGTCTGCATGTTATTGTGTTGTGCCGAATGCGTCTACATAACATTTAAAACGGTAGTAAGCAGAATCCTGACTCCCTAATCAGCATAAAAGAATATAAAATAATTGATAAAAACAATGAATCTAACTAATTGCAGAATAGGAACGAAAAACAAACACCAAGCAAACCACTCGCCAAATTAGAATCCAGATTATATCAAACATTCATCAGTACAAGTAATTAAAATCAATTGAGGCAGTATGGGACTGGGGATAGGATTGGATTTACATATTTATCCCGGGGGAGAGGGAAGCCGATAAGACGGCTTATCCATATGGCTAACCACGGCCTCTCGTCCGGCTACCATTCCAAGTCGGGTATGGGATTAGTTATATAGTTTGTTTTCGGAAGCATGGACTTGGTGGTGGAGGAAGCCGTAACCGACCAGCGGTTACGTGAACCACCCAACGATGGCGAGGAGTCCAGCAATCCTCTCGCACATAACCATCTCTGCATGGGATTCGAACCTGCGAACCCACGCAGAGTAGTTAGAGGTGCGGTGGCGAGCGTATTCCTAACGCTTAGCCCGTTGAGCCGCGCCGATATGGGAATATATAGGTTCTTAAAAGTTCAAGCGAGGTTTTTCCATTGTCATAGACGTGGGGATATAATAGATGTTATTTTCACGAAGGTCTGTACAATTTTATTGATGTTGACACCATTATAGTTAAACAAGCGAGCTATTGATTTGATAACCGGATTTTTGAGAAGTAAATATTGATCCGAGAAAATATTTAGCAATGAAATGCTAGTTGAAAGACCCGAGAGGAAATTGTGTTTGGGACACGGGGAAAATGTTTACAAACGATGCAAAAAACACTCAATTTTGGTCACACCAACCACCCGCATGATGGCCATTTCTTACAGCAAAACCTTACCCAAAGATAAAATTTCTCACAAAGCATAGAATACCACAACAAATTAAAACCAGAACGGGAGAATCCAATATAGCTCGCCTGATTACAATGATCAGTACATGGGCTATATTGTGCTTTTCTCATAATATAAAGGAGCGGCGGTGTGGCTCAACGGGCTAATACGCTCGCCACCGCACCTCTAATTACTCTGCGTGGGTTCGCAGGTGCGAATCCCATGCAGGGATGGTTATGTGCGAGAGGATTGCTGGACTCCTCGCCGTCGTTGGGTGGTTCACGTAACCGCTGGTCGGTTACGGCTTCCTCCACCACCAAGTCCATGCTTCCGAAAACAAACAATACAGTAAAAACTAATCCCATACCCGACTTGGAATGGTAACCGGACGAGAGGCCGTGGTTCGCCATATGGATAAGCCGTCTTATCGGCTTTCCTCTCCCCCTGGATAAATATTTAAATCCTATCCTATCCTATATAACCACTAAGATGGAACACAAAACCATACATGTGTGAAAAACCCAACGCTAAAAAAAACATTCACATGTGAAAGTCCGATTGTGATATGCTATTCAAAGAGAACCTAATCCAAGTGTGTCGAGTAGCGTACTGTGGAATAAGTGAAACATGGCGCCCCGGAAGTGTATGTACCAATATGGAGGTAACTAATTTTGTTCGCCGACCGTACTTTAGGCCAGTGATTCCCAAAGTGGGCGATATCGCCCCCCGGTGGGCGAAAACGATACAGAGGGGGGCAAAAAAGTCGAATGGGGCGATTTCGCGAAACCTGGTATTGTTTGGCGCATCGTGCACTTGATTACTGTACTCTGCGTGCTTTTGTAGGTTTGAAGCACGTGGGCGATTATCACACGCGAAAGGATTGCTGGACTCGTCTCCGCCGCAAGGTACAGTAGTTTGCGTATCCCAGTGGTCTGCAAAATACAGCCAGAGTAAAAATAATCTGGCCCGGGACGCTTCACTGAATTCCCCGACCTTTGACCCCGGAAAATTCTTCCTATACTTTACCATTTTAAAATTTTCGGTGCTTATTTTAAGAGTGGTTTCGCGAGTTGTGATCTGTTTTTTTAAATTACCGGTAAATAATTTTAGCCTAGTCTATCACAGCTATTTCTACTCTAATTTTTGATCACTGCAATTAAACTGAAACTCCTAGAAAGACAAAGTGATCATTGAATTATTTGATTTATATTTAAATTTCTGAAACACAACTAAAAACAAACGAATATAATTCAAAAACCGAAAAATTGAGGTAATGTTTACGACCCCGCCTGAAAATCTGTCTGAGCGAGGAAAGTGTCTAAGCGGATGCGAAAGGATACATTGTTACGTTAATTTTTGCATCTCGCTGATTGGCCAATGTCACGAAGTAAACAAGGAAGTCTATGCCCGGGGAAACATCCATCATACAGACAAAATCGCGTTTTGACGATGAATTAATTTTATTTATAATCTACGCTCGAGGAGTAAATTACATTTTTTACGTAACAGAATTTATCGTGAGACACGTTTAGACTAAGTTATATTATATCCTAACAATTTAGTGAACATCTACTTGTTTAACGAGCCTACAATTTAATTATAATTAGACCAATGACATTAAACAACGTCATTGATTAGACAAATTAAAATTATACACGCAGAAAAGTTGATGCTGAGTGCAGGGGTTCAATATCGCAGTAAATATTCAAATATATATATTGCAATGCAATAAGGAAATGAAATTCATATTCTATTTGAAAGATTCGTCACTGCTTAATTTTTGTAAGAATGAATCTTCTTAAGGAAAATCTTTATTAAAATTTTACAAACCATGCGAAAATATTCACTTCGATGTTTGAAAATACATATTCGTGCGAACAATTATTTTCAAAAATGAATATTACAAAGAACTAGGATTAGTGATGCCCATTCAGAAAATGTTCTTTGGCGTCGTAAAACTATTAAGCGTGATGCAGCAACAAGACAGTGTAACATCAAATGTCATTGTAATAATTTTTTAAAAAGACGGCTGGGTTGTGTTCATAAATTGTCGCAGTTTTCGCGCGCTGTTCCGTTTTTAGCTTGCAAAAAATATATGCGACCCGCAAAAGACTAGCAACCCCAAATTTTGTCCAAATCAAATGGCTGATTAATTCTATGGACTGGAGGCCATGGTAGGATGAGGAATCGGGGATGAATTTTACCGAAGATCGTTATATATCATGTATTTTGGCGCAGGTCATCAGGCTGTAGTGATGAATAAGATGTACAAAAATCATTATTATAAGTTTGGGAAAATTAACTTTGTTTTCATTATTTTAATGTGAAATGGGGTGAATTTAGGGAGTTAAATGCTATGAGGCAAGTACACGGCGGTTTTTGAAGAGGTAGAACCCTGGATTCTTTCATTTTCGACCTCTTATATGATGAAAAAGGTGTTTTCAGTCGTGCTACTATTGATAATATGATGTGTCTCCTTATTTGGTCTGTAATATATATATATATTCGTTTCTGACTTCAAATTTTATTGTAGTGCTGGGGGGCGATGAAGTTGTATAAATTACTGTAGGGGGGCGATGGTACAAAAAGTTTGGGAACCACTGCTTTAGGCTACATCAAGTTGTGTAAAGAGACTGGAACCTATGGGCAGGGGGGTATATTCACTTGGCTAACACAGACAGTCCCCGAACTCAAAATCGGAATAAAATTATGGCCTGACCCTAACCTGGTACACACAATAGTGAGTATCGGAAACATAGCCATACACGTTCCGCTACAAATGTTATAGTCGCCGATATATAACTAATTGAAATGTAAAGCAAAAACAAAACAGCTCAAATGCATATTTGACAATATTTAGTAGTTGTAGGCAACGTTCCCTTCAAGAGCTTGTTAAGTTGCGCGGAATAGAAGGCCATGTGAGCTCCAAAAAAATATCTGCGCATCTGCAACATTTTAAACGAACACAGATTTTATTTATAAACTCCAGTGCGCGGCAGAACGAAAGTATTGCGCGGGGATTCTCGGCCAGCTGCGCGGCCCCGCAGCTGTGCAGCTTAGGGGGAACGTTGGTTGTAGGCATCATAGCAATATTCCAACTGTTTGTGAAAAAAGGTATGTGAAAGTGGAGAGTGTCCCAACTTTCTGTCGTGGTACATCAACAAGAAGTTGGAAGTTCTCTTGGGGTATTCCCGTAGTATGTGTACCAGGTTAGGCCATAACTTAATTCCGATTTTCCTTATTTTGGTTCTATTACGAGTTCGGGGACTGTCTCTTTTATCCAAGTGAATACCCCCCTGCTCACAGGTTTCAGTGCACACCAGACTGAGCACAACAATTTCTGATAATTGACTTTTTACAGTGAGCCGCTGCAAACTAGATAATTTTTTAAAAAGAACATGAAGTAAAGCAAAATCCAGATATTTTCCGGCTTCATTGGAAGGAGTAATTTACTCTTGTCTCTTGGGTAATTTGTCTCTTTTTTTCGCAGAACAAAAGCGCAAATGTCAAGCAATAAATGGTGTTTTTATAGAGTTGCTCTGATAAACAAATCTCAATATAGGATAAAAAAAAATACTCTAATATGATGCTGTGAGTCTCCACCATGATTTTAGCTTCGAAAATGGTCCGTTGTCGAAAAAGGTTGGGTAACACTGCTTTAGACCGCCAGCAACTCATGTGCCAACGCGTCAAAAGTTGTCTGAGCGAACTTTAAGCGGTGAATGTTTGTTTACATCTGCTCGCTTGTGATTGGTTGAGAATACGGATGTTTTAATGTCGGGGAAAGGTCCATTATGACATAGACTTCCGGTACGCTACATATATATATAGATTTTTCTT